TTTTCTAAGATATAGAATAAAGCTAGATTTTTCTACCCAATAAATGTTAAGCCAGGATACATGTGTCACATGCCCAGTATTTCCAATATTGAGACATTTTTTCCAGTGGTGGATAATCCCAGTGACACAACAGAAGCTGCATATGGTGTCATAGAACCAGGTGGGACTCTGTGATGGCAGTCCTGGCACCTAAATGTCATATATCATGCCACCTGGATTTTTTTTAATATTCTTTTCTATTTTTTCTTCCACTATTGTGGTCCTATTGCACCAAATCCACATGTTACACATGTGTTCTATGAATGAACTACATGACCGGCAAGACTAGAACACTCCTTAGTTTTGTTTTTACATAGATACATCCTCCCTTCAAGATAGATTTTTAGCTCCCACTGTCTCTCACTCAACTGGTCAATAATCCATATTATCCCTCATTGCTTTTCATCTGACTGTATTTCAATATAGTTATTTGGGGCTTGAGCTGTTTAACATCAGAATGTGAAAAGCTGGGCAATACCATGTGTTTTCATAGAATTTAGTCTAGTAAGCAGAGGTGTCACCAAAGTGTGAATAATTTTCCTATTGTGTTGTGTGTAACAAGTTGTGATTGTTGTGTTCAAGAATTAGCTTTGTGTGTGTGTTTCTCTATAGTACAGGCAGGCTTTGAGGTCACACTATGCAACTAAGGTATAGCCTTGAATTCCTGATCCTCCTGTCCCTACCTAGTGCTAGGATTACAAGCAAAGCAAGGATCACCTAGTCTGGTTTTTTGTTTGTTTTTAAGACAGTATTTTCAGTGTAGACCAGGCTGACCTTGAACTCACAGAGATCTGCCTCCCACATGCTGGGACTCAAGGTATGCATCACCACTGCCCAGCTGCTGCTCTGTGCTTTTTTTTTTTTTTTTTTTAGAGATGAAGGAAGAAGTCCTTGAAGGGAACAGTGAGCGAGACCTGGCAGTGAGGGGTGGGGCAGCACCTAGGTGCAGGGAAATCTACAGACAAATCCTTTGTAGCTGGGATTTGTTACTGGACTCCACTTCAGAAAGTAAGTAGACTTGTTTGTTTAAAAACATAAGCTAGGGGCCTGGAGATGTGATAGATCCTTGGGTATCAAGCACAAAACCCTAGATTGACCTCTAATATTGCAAACAATTGAAAACAGGAACATCAAAATTGCAGGTGGACAAAATGTATACAAAATGTATTTACAGAAGAACACAGATGTACCTACATAAAAAACAAACTAAGGAGTATTCCATTCTTTCTGGTTACGTAGTTCATTCACAGAGCACACGTTTACCATGTGGATTTGGTCCACTGAAGCTGGAATTGTAGCTCAGGGCTAGAGCATGATGCATGCTCAAGTCCCTAAATTCAACCCTGATATTGAAGACCAAGAAACGAAAACATGCAAAGGAGCCACTGAAACGGTAGGTGTGGTGGCACATGGCTATAATCTCAGCAGTCAGGAGCTTGAGGCAGGAAACTTTAAGGTTCAAGGATTGACTGGGATACCAGGCAAAACCTGTCTCAAAGTACTTGACAAAGGTTGAGAATATAACTACATGGCAGAGTTTCCCTAACATGTTTGAAGCCCCGAGTTCAATCCCCAGTATCATAGTAATTGCCTGGTAAGTGAGGTCAGAGGATAGAGCATCAAGTAATTTATGGTTGCCTGACAGTCTGGAGGAAAGGAAGCGACAGCCACAACAGTGGGAGGAAAATGAGAATTTCCCAAAGAGCAAGGGATTAATAGTATTGACTACTTGACTACTGCCAAGTTCAAATAATGTGAAAATTGAAATCCCAGGATTTAGCAATACGAAAGCTATCACTGAGACTGGTAGGCATGAAAATACAGACAAATAGACTGGCTTGAATTTAGGAGGGTATGGTATAAACCAACAGTTCCCAGAGCGTATTCTGGTCCGTGTGTGTGTGTGTGTGCGTGTGTTGGACAGTGGATAGAAAGAGATGTAGGTTTGGAAGTCAATTTTGGTAGGTCTTACCTAAAGGATAGTTGGAATATTGAAAAGAAGAAATAACCTACAGCAGGGTCCAACAAACACTCGCCTTCTGTAAACAATGCTTTATTGGAGATCTTTGAAGACATAGTCTGCCAACTCCTAATCTCTACACTAGGAATCCATAAAAGGCTAAAGAAATTCAGAGGTAATTAAAACAAACAAACAAACAAACAAACAAAGCGGCTTATTACAACAAAGAAGGAAAACAATCTGTATATTTCTCAACTTTCCTAATGCTGTGACCCTTTAATACAGTTCCTCAGGTTCTCCGGGCCTCCAACCATACCATTGTTTCATTGCTCCTTCATAACTGTAATTTTGCTACTGTTATGAATTGTAAGGCAAATTTCTGATATGCTGATGGTTTTAGGGAACCCCAGACCCATAGGTTGAGAAGTGCTGGTGTAGATGGTGAATTATACTTTGTTGCTCAAAGATAAAACAGTCTTGACAGTTAGACTCTCTAGAAGATCTCCACACACCATACCGATAAAAAGGAAAAAAAAAAAAAGCTTAGAAATAAAGTTTCTTGTGGGATATTTATAAAAAATAAGGAAACCAGGGAAAGATATTTATAGGAATGACAACCTGTGCTTGGAGGTTTTAATGGATGTCCTGTAGGATGTGAGGAGGAGGAGGAGGACGATGAAGAAAGTAAATTTAATTATTTAATTTTGGGTTTGGGTTTGTAGGGCTAGAGGGGTAGCTCACCAGTTAAAGAGTATACTGACTGCTCTTCCAGAGGACTAAGGTCTAACTTCTGGCACCCACATAGTGGCTCACAGCTGTCTATAACCACAGTTCCAGGGGGATCTGAGGCCCTCTTCTGACCTCTATGGGCACCAATGACACAAATGGTGCCCAGACAGAACACCCACACACATAAGATAATTTTAAAAATTAGAAAGAAATTTCATATGAGGGACCATCAAGAAGGACCATCAGACAGGTCCTTAGTACCCACATGGAATCTCAAACAATAAAGGTAAAGTTTAGCTTGTAGAAGGAAGTACTTATGTTTGAAAGTGATGTCTAATTCTGTGGCAAAGTAATAAATCGGAGAAAGATTTGACAGAATAGGATATGCCCAGCTCTCAGAAGAGAGTGGAAAGAGAGATTACTTAAGTACTCTGTACTTAAGGGGCAGTACAGAGAGAATAGAAAAAGGAGTCAGTTTTTCTTTTCTTTTCTTTTTTTTTTTTAATACTGGGAGAGTTTCACAGACAGGTTGAAGAGAAAACAAGCTAGACACAGGTAAAGACAGAATAAGCCAGAGAAGGAAAAGGAGCTAGATTATTAGAACATACTGCCAAAGTTAGTATGAAGCCAATCAGAGCAACTCAGGAGAGGCAGAGATAGAAGCAGACTGAATCAGTTATCTTGGGAGAGGAATTTGAGCCAGAACACGCAAGTTAAACCAGCCAGAGTTCAAACACAGCTTGAAAGGGTGAGCTTACCCAGCAGTAAGTCTCAGAGGCTGGAAACATTCTAGACCCAGATAAGATTGTATGGAGACTAGAAGCTTCCAGGTCTAGGCCCAGGTTAGCAGATGGAGGTGGTAAGCTTAGGAGACAACACAATCTTAGGAGATCAGGCGAATAAAAGTTACAAATACAAATAACAACTATCTCTAACTCTAGGTGGAAGCTACCGCTGGTCTCTACAGGCCCTGGAACTAGCATACACATACCGCCATACAGATACACAATTAAAAAAAAATCTTTGTCACAAAGAAGTACAAAGTACTTGAAAAACATAAATATTCACATTTCCTCTGACCCTTCATAATTCAGATAAAATATCCAGGGAAATCATAAGACCCTTCTCTTTGAAGAATATCTGTTACAAGACCTGATGTCCATGGTGAGTAGCTGGATGCTTCCATCTTAGTAGCAAGAGCCACAACAGGATCCATTCAAAATGCATTGAGAGACACATATAATCGTGGACTTTTCTACCTGTGCCCAGATCCCGTATAATGGCCCAGAGGCTTATTTACTTAAGAATAAATGCCTAGATTATAAGCTTAGGCTTGTTTCCCTGACTACCTTGTAACATACAGAACCTGTTTAAACTATTCTATGTCTGTCACACAGCTGGTCACCTCTCTTCAGTTTTGTACATACTCTGATTTCCTAAGTCTGGGTGCAGAATCCTTCTGTGGTTTTCTTTCCCAGAGTTCCAATCTCTCTGCTGGAACTTGCACCTGTTACTTCTTGCCTTTTTCTAAAGATGTATTTATGTCTTTATTTTATGTATATATGAGTATACTGTAGTTGTCTTCAGACACACCAGAAGACGGTGTCAGATCACATTGTAGATGGTTGTGAGCCACCACATGGTTGCTGGGAATTGAACTCAGGACCTTTGGAAGAGTAGTCAGTGCTCTTAACCACTGAGCCATCTCTCCAGGCCTCCTGCCTTTTTCTAATAGACCATCTGCTTTTAATTGACAGGTGGTGCTTCCACACCGTGCACAAGAGATTATCCCTACACATATCATCCTGTTCTTGTTCCTGACTAGTGTTCTTAAAAATGCATCTGCAGTCAGAATTCTAGGTCTTACAAAACAAGACTGTGTTCATTTATTCTAACTTTCCAATCATATATATCATGTATATATACATGTATGATATATATTGACTATGTATGTGACATATACCTATGATACATATATATACTCATTATATATATAAATACATATATTCAATGTTACTATCCTTCATCATTTCTTTGCTTTCTGTTGCACTTTTAGTGGAACAGGGGCAATAACCACTTGCCACATTATGCATGTGAATGTCAAAGGGAAACTTTTTGAAGTCTGTTTTCTGTCCACTGTGAGGTCCAAGAATTGAACTCAGGCTGTCAGTCTTGGCTATATGTGCCTTGATCCCCTGAGCCATCATCAAATGGCCCCGTCATCATCCAACTTAAATAGAACTCCTTCAACGAACACATGCTGAAAGCCACATTAAGTCTAGTGACTTTATTGAATCATATTGGATTAATTTCATAAGTGGTCTTCACAAACTCTGGATCTTATTTTATGATCTCTTTCTATCTTGGGTTCCACACACAGGAAGATGAAGAGCTATCGGCAGCATTTCAGGGATGAGTCTGAGGGAGACAGACAGTGAGAGAGTCTGAACTCATGTCTCCATTTGGAATACAAAGAGAAAATATTGGTTTAACCGCTCCTCGGAAGGTAAGGTCAGAGAAACTGTAAATGAGGGACTGCTCTGTCACATTGTAGAATGATACTTGCCCACAGTCACAGTCGAGGAAGATTCCAACTTTGTACATTTGCTTTCTCAGGCAGATCTTTCTTAAAGGAGGAAAGACCCAGAGGGTACAATCACTCCCCATCATGGATCCCATGAGCAAGACTTTATCTCCTGAAGCCCCAGGAATGCTGTCCTTTTTCTCTGTACAGTCACATATGCCCACCTGCCACTGGGCGGCTTGCCCCACAGCCACCTCCCAATAATGCCTCCCTGACTTGAAGCTCTCTGCAGCCAACACAGAAGCGCTGAAGTCAAATCTCCTTCGAGTGGCAGGCCCAGTTCTTGGTGTCTCTCCGAATCCCACACTTCCCAGGTCTTCAGATAAGACTAGGGAGGGGTGAGCTGTGTCTGGGTCCAAAGTGATATGTCCTGCACAAAGAGAACTTCAATTAATCTGGGGGTTCAGCAAACCTGTGCCGGAGCTATGGTTTCTAACATGGAGCAGCTTCGCAGCAAGGGACACATGGCACACGCAACTTAGGAGAAGTCCGAAAAAAGCGACACAAAGCTTTACTTCCTTGGATGGACATCATGGGAGAAAAATGATGCTGGTATAATAATGGATCAGGCAGTTGTGTGGGGTGGAAGAAAATCACAAATAGATGGTAAAAGCATAAGGGCATAAGGTTTCTTCAAACCAAGGTCTGTAAAATTGTGCTAATAACCAGTCCCATTCAAATGTCACTTCAGACCCAAGTAACATCCCCTAAAGATGCTTTGTAAACCAGACACTCCCTGAAGCATCGGTCTTTGTAAAAACAACACGATGGAGGGGTTTTCCATGATAGTCACATCTTAACAGCTCACTGAGTGTGATGGAATCCCTTAGTACTAAGGAGACCCCAGAAACATATCAGAGAGGCTAGGACCCCTAAGGAACTCCTGAAAATCATACCTTGTATGTCAGACCATGAAATACATGGTAATTCCTTAGAACTATAGGAAAGTGATACATTGCCCTTCCTTTTCCCAGCAAATATGATTTTCCCAGGCTCCTGAAACACACACTCTCCATTTTTTTTTTTACTGGCTGCATTTCCTATTTCTTTCCACACATGACATTATCTAGTCTCAGTTTTAAATACCTTCAGAATGATCATGACCCAGTCCCTAAATAAAATACCAATACTAGTTAGAAATCATATGGAAATTTGAAATATAGTAAGCCCCAAATGGAGTTTCAACCTGACCCCTCTCCAATTTTGGTTTCTTAGTAGTATCTACATCCCTTTCATTAGACTAATTCAGAATATTTCTTATTTATTTATTTATTTTTATTTTATTTTATTTTTTTTTTGGTTTTTCGAGACAGGGTTTCTCTTGTAGCCCTGGCTGTCCTGGAACTCACTCTGTAGACCAGGCTGGCCTGGAACTCAGAAGTCTGCCTGCCTCTGCCTCCCAAGTGCTGGAAGCCCCGGCACAAGGCAAGTCTTATAAAGGACAACATTTAATTGGGGCTGGCTTACAGGTTCAGAGGTTCAGTCCATTATCATCAAGGCAGGAGCATGGCAGCATCTAGGCAGGCACGGTGCAGGAGGAGCTGAGAGTTCTACATCTTCATCTGAAGGCTGCTAGTGGAAGTCTGACTTCTAGGCAGCTAGGACTAGGGTGGTAAAGCCCTTGCCCACAGTGACATATCTACTCCAACAAGGCCACACCTTGTAACAGTGCTGTTCCCTGGTCCAAGCATAGACGAAGCATCATAGTGGTGGTTTGAGAATGGTCCCCACAGGCTCAGATGTTTGAACACTTGGTCCCCAGTTGATCAAACTTTTGGGGAAACATTAGGAGATGTGTCACTAGGGCTGGGATGTGTTAAAAGCATCTTGTTATTCGCGCTGTTCTCTGCTCCACGCTTGAGGTTGTAGCTCTCAGCTACTGTTCCAGCATCCTTGTGCCTGCTCCCCTACCCAGCTATCATGAATTCTAATCCCCTGAAACTGGAAGCCCCAAATAACCTCTTTCTTCTGTAAGTTGCCTTAGTCTTGCTTGGTGTTTCATTGCAACAACCAAAAGGCAACCGGCACGAGGTTCTTTAAATTCGATTTCTTACCTTCAGTAAGTTAAATTAACTTCAGCCCCTGCACTGGCAGCCTGCTTAACCTTATTAGAGGCACAGTGCTCAACTTAAATTGCAAGTTTTCACAGGTTCTCAATACCTCCAGAAGATTAGCAAAAACTCTGGGGGGAAAAAATTCCCTCTGGGGTGGGGAGTTGGAGGTGGAGAGTTGGAGGTGAGGGGTGGGGAGTTGGGGGTAGAGGGTGGGGCATCACTTTCATCCCCAGCCTCAGCATTCCTACAAATACTATCTCAAGAACAAAGAAACTCTAGCTGGGACAGTGGTGGTTCACACCTTTGATTACAGCACTTGGAAGGGAGCTCTCTGTGAGTTCTAGGCTAGCCTGGTCAACATGGTGAGTTTCTGGACAGTCAGAGATACACAGAGAACCTTTATTTTGAAAAAAAAAAAAAAAAAAAAGATAAAAAAATTTCTGGCATGGTGGCACACACCTTCAATCCCAGCACTTGGAAGGCAGAGGTAGGTAGATGGATCTCGGAGTTAGTGGCCAGTTTGGCCTACAATATGAGTTCCAGAACAGCCAGGGCTACATAGAGAACCCCTGATCAAAGGCAAGCAAGCAAGCAAACAAACAAACAAACAAACAAAAACAAAACAAAAGCAAATCAGTGAACACACATTCACAAATAGAAAACAAATGCTAAGGGTAACCAAAAAAATCAACCCATCAAGAACATTAGATAAAAGAAACACCCTTCTAACCAACTGGACATTATTTAAAATAAATTACAAATGTAATGGCGAGGGGCACTAGATAAAAGAATTACTAGACATAGACTCTAACATAACTTTACCCGTATGCTTGAGGAAATGTAAACTGTAAATACATCCATACCACATGGAGCAGGGGCTGTTGCTCAGTGGAAGACTAGGTGCTAAGCACACACAGGCTGAGCGTTCAATCCCTGCATCATACCATAAAAGTGCCTACAGTATCTAGATGGCTTGAAAATGCACATGAGCAGATGTTGGTGGATGCCGGGATGACCATGTGATTTCCACACATAACTTGGGTGTACCGCATTCATGCTTAAGCCCACTCACTTTGGAGCCTCAGTAGAACACTGCTTGTTCCGATTATCTGGCATGAACTCAGGTCTGTTATCTGAGCTGGCTCCAGGCTTTGAAGCAGTATAGACTCACTCCTTTAAAAAAAAAAAAAGACAGTGTCAGCCCCAGATATTCACTCGAATTAACTTTTATACATAGATATAACCTTATATTTGCCCAGCATTCCCAACCCTCATATGTCCGAGACATCAGTCTGATTTTTTACCCAGTTGTTTCTAGAAACTCACCTTTTTAAATAGCACTTTGCATTCTAAGGGAGAGAAAAGAGACAAGATTACTACTGGGTATTTGAACCAAAGCATTTGTAAGCCATGCCCAAGACACTAAAAAGACACTGTGTGTGTGTGAACACAGGAGAGAAACTACAGGCTCTTTGTCACCCTACTCTCTCCCTGTTTCCTTTTAAATGGTACCTGTGTTTTCTTTTTTTTTTTTTTTTTTTTTTAAAGATTTATTTATTTATTTTATTGATGAGTACACTGTAGCTGTCTTCAGACACACCAGAAGAGGGCATCCAATCTCATTACGGATGGTTGTGAGCCACCATGTGGTTGCTGGGATTTGAACTCAGGACCTCTGGAAGAGCAGTCAGTGCTCTTAACCCCTGAGCCATCTCTCCAGCCCGGTACCTGTGTTTTCTTTCTGTTGCTAGGGGAGTAAGACATGAGCAGAGCAGATGGAGGGCCACTAGGCCAAGAGGGCATTTGTAGACAGGTCAGGCAGGAGCTGAATATAACTGGGTCACACCTGTTCATGTTGTCTGGAAATAGGCTAGGCTCGAGAGTTGAACTATTTCCCTTAGGGGTTATCTACAGTGGCTTTTCAGTGAGTTGTTTTATCCTTTATTTTTAAATGTTTTTTAATTTTTAAAATATTATGAATTGGGGTTAGGTCTACTGCAAAGCAGTGTTTGCCCAGTAACTCAATTACCACTACTACTACTAAGAAAAAAAATCCATAAATACTACGAATGAGCGCACTGTTCAGATAAGTGTATGTAGGACAGAACAGACTTAAAGGACATTAACTGACTATTGCTTTTTAGTAACTAGCTTTTTGAAAAAAAAAATGGATGTTAATATATAACATCTTAAATACTTAATTGTTTAGGCTGTACTAAAACACCCTAGCCAAATAGTTCAATACAATAGGAATCTTTATCACATACTGGAAGCTGATAATTCACAGATTCAGTACCTAGGGAGGTACTTTCACCTGTCATGGTGAAAACAACTGTTTCGCCGGGCGGTGGTGGTGCATGCCTTTAATCCCAGCACTTGGGAGGCAGAGGCAGGCGGATTTCTGAGTTCGAGTCCAGCCTGGTCCAGAGTGAGTTCCAGGACAACCAGGGCTATACACAGAAACCCTGTCTCCAAAAACCAAAAACCAAAAACCAAAACCAAAAAAAAAAAAAA